CTGAAAAACCACAGTAATTAATTACAGGGCTTTCTGTCTCCACTAACAAGACTGTGCAGTACTTCGGGGTACAGAGAAAAGCCACACATATTGGTAAGAGTCCAGTATTTCAGACTGAACACAAAGAGCACAGCCAGCAACCTCTGCTTGAGCTCCAGAGTCTCCAACAACAGATGGGAAATTGGCATTGTTAAAGTTATAATATATACCAAGCTCCCAGTCCAGTGCACATCACATCCCAGCAGGACTGGGGGACGTGTGTGTCTTTTCACCACTCATTTCACTGGCACAAAGAGATGCAGCAATAGTTATCCAAGGGTAAAGTTCAGAACTGCCCTAGGAACCTCGAAAGCCAAAAAAACGTGGCAGCACCACAGCTGGGCTCGGTGCTAAGAAAGGATTTACTAACAAAGAGCAACAGCTCCTGTCACCAGGAGGCCTTAATCACTGTCCAAAAGCAGCGTGGTGAATCTGAGCAGTGGTATCAAGCAAGGTGAACTTGTTCTAACCAAACAGATGCGTGAGAGGTCTGTGACACATAACAACCACTCCCTCAAGCTAACCCAACGGGACAGCTGATGGTTCTGCCTCCAGCATGCGGAACACCGTGTGAGATGTTCTAGTCACTGCTTCACAAGTGCAAAGGAGAACACAATTCAAAAGAAAACACCTCTCAGTAGGTACCACAGGTTGTTTGCATAGCTCAAGGCAGTTTGTGGGTTGAGAAAGCTCCTGAAACAGAGAAAGACTACAGGCAGGAGCTCCTGACAGCATCAAGAACAAGTAGCTACCCACCTCCATCCCCTTGAAACTGATTTTTACAGCTCAACTGTCAGCCCTGGTGGCTGATACCACCAATTCCTTCAATTCACACTGAACATGATTCCCACTACAGTGTTCCCAAAGAGGTAATTTTCCTCCAGGAGATTCATAGCTACTCTCCCAGGGTTTATTTTGTCAAATATGCACTTTCTTACAAAAGTTCTGCTCCTAAGCTCTCTGCTCAAACTCTGTCCATGGGAAGTAGTGTTACATCCCTAATCAGCTAGACAGGTCTGTCCCACTGCTGAGAATGACCTGCCTTAATTATACTCTTACAGTAGTTTGGCCTGTCTGAAATGCACCTACACATTGGCCTGTAGAAACTGAGGGAGTGCGGTCAGCATAGAACACATCAATGCTATCCTTCCAGCTTTGCCAAGAATGAACCTGTCCTGTAAAACAGCTTCCACCTCCGCTAAAGCTCTTTATCCTCCTGGTCAAGGTGCTCAGGAGCTGCGATCAGAACACTGCAGAGCCCGGGCACTGCACCAGGACACGGGGGATGACCCACTCTGCCCTCCTGGCACAGCAGGACCAGCTCCCTACGCTGCCCTGCACGGCTCCCACGGCACTGGTGACAAGTCCCACTTGTCCCACGGGTGACAAGTCGTTAAAGAAACGCCAACAGCAGTCAGAATCTGCATCCTCCTGCGCAGGCACCGAGCTTCCCTCTGTGCCCATCTCTGACCGGGGGAAAGCTGTCACAGCAGCTAAGCGTCCCGCAAAGCCAAACCTCACACTCCGCGCAAGCTCTGCGTTACCAAAGCCGTGACCGGGCTGCCGGTGAGCGCGGTGCGAC